AAACCCTAAAGTCAACAGAAAACAAACTCAAGTCAACAGTCCATGTTTGACTCGACTCGCCGAGTGCACCCATGTGACTCGTCGAGTCCACTCGTTTTCCTCAGAAGTCTCGTGAAGGTTCAACTCAGCTCGTCGAGTTGACCCCTAACTCGTCTAGTTATCGCATGATCATGCTCATCGGGACAAACCCTAAACGACTCGTCGAGTCGGCTCATCGACTCGGCGAGTTCATTCAAACTCTTTTCTCATTCAGACGATTTCAATGCAGAAAACCTTCCCAAACTCTAGATCTAAACTCTTAAGGCTCGTTTATCACGTAAAGCCATGAACTTTACGTCCATGCATGGCACTTAGGGCTTGAAATGCCAAGAACATGCTTTATTATGGGTTTTTCACTCAAGAGCTCTATTATGGTTGAATAAAGCAGGAACCTTTGGTCTCTAGGGACCTCACATGGTCCAGATCTGAAGTCCAAACCTCTATATGAACTCAAAACACTCAAAGTCCTAATGTTAGATGGAAAAAGCCCTAAACTCCCAAAAACATGAGATCTACTCAATAAAATGAGAAAGGTGCGAACTTTTTACCTTTCACAGAAGCTCTAGGATGAAATAACCACAGATCTAACAGCCCCTTCTCGCCCCTTGTCTTGGAGTCCTTCCCTTCTCTTCAAAAGATGCACCAAACACTCAAAGTTACCTCAAAATACTCTCTCTTAGCTCAATGGCAAAAAAGGGTTTTCTCTCAGTGAAGATGGGCAGCTGATGAGTCGCAAATGAGGCTATAAGTGTCCTTAAATAGGCCCCAAACCTGGGGATTTAGGGTTTCATCACTCAGCGTCTACTCGGCGAGTCGACTCTCTGACTCGTCGAGTAGGTCATTAATCCCATGTGGCCAAACACGTCTCTACTCGCCGAGTTGTAGCACCAACTCGTCGAGTCACTCAATAGATTTCAAAATGAATAAATAAATAATATACCTGAGAGTCTGGATGTTACACCTTTTCTTTTTCTTTGAGGCGATAAGTCTTCAACACTAAACGACTGTTGTTGTTGGGGGGAGAATCCAGGAGGATAATGTGGATCAGAAGATGTTGTGTAGGAGTTGGATGAAGATGTTTTGGTTCGTTTTGAAGAAGGAGGCGGGGAGTCTTCACCAGCTTTTAAAAAAAATACCCATTTCGCATTGTCTTTCAACCACTCCCAAGCTTGCTGATGAGGAAAAGCTTTCTGATTAATACTCTCTTAGTGAAGATTATAAAACATCAGCCTCAGATCTCCCGCAAGCCACAGTTGTCACACCCCAAAACCGGAACGGCGTAAACATTCTGGGGTGGAGGACGTCATGTTTAGTATCACAAGACATGTATCATAGTAAGCAAAGTAATGAACAACCATTTCATTAGAAAGAAATTGTTTACAAATGGTGTGTTCACAAAACATAGAATACATAAGCAAATAACAAACAAGTCTTGAAGCTATACTGCTCCATCTTCTGAATCCCAGTGCGAGTACCTGTCTACTAGGCTCCTGATAGTACAAGTTATTTGAAAGAGTTGATCAGCAATTAAGCTGGTGAGTTCATAAGATTTTAGTGATGTAAGTTGTAAAATGTTGTGGTAAGTTGCTGTTGAAAATGTAGTTGAAAAATGTAGTAAGTTGTAAGTTCTGTTTAGAAAAGCTCGTCTGTTCCTCCAGGAAATCCTATATTTCCTGCCTTGAAGAAAGATATGTAAAAATGTCTCTACAATCCTTTCTATGTGTACTAAATGGATACAAGTTACATGAAACTCAGAGTAAACAAACAATCGATTGTGTGTATCCGCCCTAAGCCCACAACCAAACAAGGAACAAGGAATGAGGCAGATGACACACATCCCATTGGTTGTTAGATCCTTATTGTATATAACCCTGATGTATTCCTTTAGTACTCACGAAGTTAACTGTAATAGTTCCTTTGTATTTGAATGAAGAGATTCTTTAAGAAAACCCTTATTTCTTATAATAAAATGGTGACCACAGTGATTACTCCTATAATCACTTAGTTTATACTGGCTACATATAATCTAATATCGATTAGATAGTTAACTGGGTGAATCTGCCCTAAGCCCACAACCAAACAAGGAACAGGAAGTAAGGAGGAAAGCACACATCCAACTATCTATTGGGTATTAATGATATATAACCGTGCTGTATAAACTAAAGTATTATAGAGTTAGTCACCTAAGGTCCTTTGAGTTTATACTGGTTTAATAAAATGGATTAAACCCTTAACTGGTAAGTTTCTAGTTTTGTATATCAAACGTTCTGATCTGGAAAGTATGTTTTGTACTAGAAAGCTGTGCATTGACTCTGTGTCCTATGACTTGACCCATACCTGGTACCCTTATGATGACTCAATGTATACTGGGCATATATATCTAGAATCGAATAGATAATAGACTGGGTGGATCTGCTCCAAGCCCACAACCAAACAAGGAACGGGAAATGAAGCGGAGAACACACATCCTATTACCTGTCGGATCCTATTGATATCTATGTATCCTTTGATGTATACATTAAGGAATCATAAGGTTAGCATTATGGTCCTTTCTACTAAACGTAGCCTTCTACCAAGGCCTCAACTGTTATGTATGTTTGTTTCTTGTATGAGTGTGTATTTTCCCGAGTGAGACTCTCATTAACTAATTATAGTTTATACATTAATGACTATGTGAGGAGATCACAAGGTAAATGTAATAGGGAAAATAATGTTTTGCCTCAGCAGCGACACTGTTGGTAATGAAATACAGACTCCAGGTAGTATTAAATGTACAATACACCTCGGGGAGTCTAAAGTAGCCTTTAATTCTTAATTGGTTAATTAAAGGTTTTAATGTGAACTTGTATGTAACCATGCTGATCGATGGCTGAATAACTCATGACCCTCCGGTGTCATATGTAGTGAGGTAACATTCTGTCACCCCTTGGCCTTATCGGCTGGGACTGTAGCTAGCAGTCGGGGTGTGGGAGTGTCTGTCCCGTATAGATCTATACACACAATGCTCGCTCTCCCTCCAGGAGACTCTAGTTACAAGGTGATAACACAATGAAGTGTTGCATCGAGAAGTAGTATGTCACATTAATTTATTGTATAATAGTGTTTGTATAGTATGTCATAGTGTAGTAGTGCTCACTTTGTACTAGTGTATATTGTACTCTCTTGTATAGTGTATAGTGTGTATTGTTTCTCAAGATAGTGTGTTCTGACTCATGTATGAACTGACTCTTTGTATGCTTCATTGTACTAGAAGTAAAGAGTAGTGTCTTTCCAAACTATACCTATTATAGTTTACTAATGTTTCTTTGAACTGTTATTGAAAAGACTCTTTAAGTTATGCTTTCACTTTAAAACGGAGTTTGGTAAAACTATAAAGTAACATAACTTTAAAAGAGTTTTTGAAATGTTTTGATCACTCATAAAAGACATAAGTAATTCTTTTGAAAATGTTTATAACAAACAATTACACAATTAACATTGTGTTCAACTTGTATCCCCCCCCCCCCCTTAAAACATTGAAAACCGTTAAAAGATTCATTATGGGGTATGAACTCACTTGATGTGGGCGATTCAACGGATACGTGTGTAAGGATGAGAAGTTCCACGAATGAAGTCCCGAGACACAACAAGTCCTAAATGACATATAATGACATATATTGGCATGAATATAGTGTTTAGAAGCAACCAAATGCAAGGAAACACCTCACGGGACTAGGAAACACTTTGACCAAGTGTTGGAATCACATGTGATTCAAATTAAGGGAGTGTACGGCCACTTTGAGGAGTGTGCGGCCACACACTCATGGTAAAGAGTGCACAAAACGTTTTCCAAATGGTAGGGAGGCTTGTAGGACTGATGCTCATCAAGTATTGAAGCTAGAAAGGCACTTTAGAGGCCCTTAAGCACTAAACAAAGGGGTGTACGGCCACATGAGTGTGTGCGGCCGCACACTCCTTGATGAACATGTTTTGGACGTTTTCTAAGGCTCATATCTAGTAAGTAACAAGCTTGGGGAATGGTATTTACAGTATACAAGCCTTTAGGGGTGTTTTGATGGTGTTTTGAGGGTATTTGAGGGGTGTACGGCCACATGAGTGTGTGCGGCCGCACACACCATATGTTCTTGAGTTCTGGCCAGTTTCAAGGCCTTAATCTCGTGTTCTTAACAAGATTCAAGTGTAGGGAAGAAGTACTTACTATCCGGAAGCTCAAGAAGGCCCAAAACCACCAAGAACGAGTGTGTGTTCTTGGTGAAATGGATGAAGATTTGAAGATCTAGTCAAAACATGATTTCCAATGGATGAAATCAAAGAGTGTTACTAGTTTGGAAGGATTAACAACAAATCAAGTGAAGAACACTTACATTCTTGAAGATCTAAGCTGAAAATCGGATGATAGTTGAGAGAGAAATCGAGTTCTAAGCCTTGGAGAGTGAAAAGGGATGAATGGAGGCTAAACCCCTCTTTTGTACACGTGAGTGTGCTGCCAGGAGAGGGGTGTGCGGCCGCACACCCATGTGTACGGCCGTACACTCCTTGTGTTGGAGTGTATGGCCCGATTTTGATGCTAGAAGTGTACGCGATCCATTCCTATGCTCAATGCTTGAATGTACTGACCTTTGGACCTTTAAACGGACTCCAAACGAGGCTAAATGATAGCAGAAATGGCTCTGACACTCAACTGAGCTGACTGACTGAGCTTTAAAAGCAAAAAAAATTCGGGTTGTCACAACAGTGCTCATCTTACGGTTATAGATGCAGTTGAAAGAGTTACATTTCTTTTGGAGGTCTTTTCATTTTGAGTTTACTTGGTGTCGTGACCGATCCGAACCTCCCATTTGAATATTAAAATGCTTTAGAACCGTCTCCCAAAATGCATTGGACATTTGTTGATTTTCGCGTTTGTTATCTTTAGAAACATCGACATATGCCCTCTCCAAAGCCAACTCTTCACGTTCCACCTAGTTCTTTCGCTTCTGGAGGTGTGCATAGTTGCGCTTTTTCTCAGCAATGGGTTGCAACTCCTCGCTGGTTTCTTCTTCGTTTCTTTTGGGAGCTGGGTCGTCACTAGAACTGTCAGATTTTACGTTCTGAGCATCACGGAACTGAAAATTCTCGGGTTGAGAAGATTGGAATTGAGCTTCTGGAACCCTTTGAGAAAACTGATTCCATGGATTATAACTCTGATTTTCCTCTGGAAGCCTAAATGTGTTGTAAGATTGTTGCATCGGGAAATATTGTTGTTGGTAGTTTTGGTTTTGAACTACCTTGTGTCGATTTATGTTTTTGGTTAGAACCGGTTTGAATGTAACTAAAGAAATCGAATGAAATATAAAATTTTCTAGAGTAAAAACACTACAAATGAATGAAATATGTATTATATATTTATAAACTTCTAAAACGAAATAAATAAATAAATAAATAAAAAGAATTCGTAAGAACTTAGTCAAATTGAAAGTAACATGGAACTGAATTAAAGTAAATGGCTACAGGGGAATCTCTTTACTTCTGAAAAGTTTTTCACATTAAATTCATTCATAGAAAAACAAAATAATAGCATTCCTATATTGACGGGTTCACCAACCCAACAATACAATGAAACCACCTCAACCCAATTTGAAGGAATTGTTCCCCGACGGTGCCCCGAAACCACAACGACTCCGTCTTCCCTTATGTGGTTTGATTCTTGAGGCTTTTAATTCCTATGAGATTTGTCTTGCACATAAAATTTTCTATGAAATACATAATAATTTTTCTTAATTTAAATGTCATTTAAGGCCTATTATAATTAATTAATCAAGCATCATAAATTGATTAGTCTATCCAAATTAACGGCTATCCACGTGGCCTCAAAACTTTATGGGCATGTGTATCCCTATATCCTTTATGTACAAGGAAATTTTCACATAACCAACCTAGAGGGGTGGGATTATCATACATTATTTTATCTAAAAGAAAAATGGAAAATTAATAAGATCAACTGAATCTATATAATGTGGAGGTGATTGCTCGACAAAAGAATTGTTTGTATATATACATTGTTTAGTTGAAATTAAATCGAAGTCACTATTTCAAAACTTCTTAAATTGATAATGATCAAAATTTATTTTAAAACATTTTTTGATTTAATAAACATATTTTTGCTGTTTACATAAAAAAACATTTTTTGATGTAATAATTTCGTTTTTATCAATTTTTTTTTCTGTTGACATCTTGTTTCCATGGCTTATACAAGAAAAAACAAATCGATGTTTGTATTTTTTATGTTTTCTTATTGGTTCAATATATAGTGGGTTTTATACCAAAAAAAAAAAAAAAAAAAAAAAAAGCTTTGTGCAACAAAGGCAGATGAATATCTTATTTTAGTTGGAAATTAAGGGTTAACAGGTTTTATTTAGAAAATAAAGTGACTAACTTTTTACAATAAAACGGTTAACAAGGTTTAATGCATTTAAATCAATTTCAACCAGTTAACCTATTTGACCAATTAGAAAGAAATAAAAAAAATAATAAAAAAACAAAATAAAAATCTTTTTACAAACTTTTGTTTGGTACAAACGCTAACCACCCAAACTGAGATAAACCGAGGTCACAATACCGACGGCGTAAACTCCGATCACCGTCCCAACGACCTGAATCCCTGACCGAGTCGCAACCCCAATTCCGACAATCCCAGCAACACCGACAGGCACCTTCAGTAGAACAGCCTTCCCGGCGTTGGAAACGATGGCATCTGAGTACAGATCCATAGCGAACTCCTTAAACGCCGCTTCCCCGTGCGTGACGATTTCATCTCCGTCATCATCCTCCAGGAGGGCTTTTTGAATTGCTTTGTCGATTTGGGAACGGGTGGGAGGGGAAGTTACCCACTTTTCGATCAAAGGGAGGTGCAGATCTGAGAGAGTTTGATAGAGACGGTCGGAAGCTGAAACGAGTTGGTAGCGGGGGATGCCCGGGAAAGCTTGTTGGGCGAGAGAGAGAAACTGTTGGTAGACTGTTTCGCACGCTGAGCTGAATTCCGGTGAGTCTCGTAGTTTTCCGGCGACCCGTTTTGATGAAGATAACCCCATATTCCTTTTAGCAAAATCTGTTTTGAATCCAAATGAAACTCCTCAAGAATTACAGACGAACAAAACTAAACAGTATAATCACAAGATTTCAGAGAAAGAAACTATATCAAAAACTAAGTATGAACATAAAATCCTAAACAACTAGAGAATTACACAGATGATCGAAAAATTAAATGAGCTGTCTCACTAGGCACTAGCTCTGCTTTGCACATTATATATTCCGGGTCGAAACACTTTGTATTCCGGGTTGGAATACCCGCGTGCTCTTTTCTCCATCTATCAAATAAACGAGGCGCATCCCACAAGAAGAAAATGTTGCACTTTCAGCCCTTCACATGAAAACTCACTTCATCGTTATCTTATATATTTTTCTGTAACACGTTACAGAAATACTATTAAATGAAAATAAAACAATTCACATATTTAAACATATTCTCCAATAAGATGTTGCATCATATATATATACACATAAAGGTTGTGATTAATTACTGCACCTAAAATAATTAACAATCTTAAAGACATAGGTTCTAGCATGGAATGATAATTGAAACGATTATTTCTTGAATAAATTTCAAGATTTGTTATAGTCATCATGTTATAGATCTATACATTAGAGGGTTTCGATAATTTCTTCATTTTGTTTGAGACTTGATTGTTGGCAATACACATTATTGTTATTTGAAACATTTTCTTTTTGTATGTTCTTGTTTACAACTATATGGGTTAAATGCAATAAAGAGCAACATGCTATTATTGGACAGTTTTTTATTTCTTGTTTACTACTATATGGGTTAAATGCAATAAAGAGCAACATGCTGTTATTGGACAGTTTTTCATAATATAATGTCTTAATAAGAATAAAATTTGAAAGTACACTACTGCTTTAAATCTGGTACATTTCATGAAACAAAATGTAACTCGTTTCCATTTGCAAGGGTCGGAAGTTTCATATGTGTGTTTTTTATTGCAGCCACATATACATGTTGTGGTGATGGAAATATCAGTGTCGTTTGCTCTGAGAAAGAGAGAGTTGCTCTTCTCAAGTTCAAACATAGTGTAAGAGATGACCTTGAAATGTTGTCATCATGGGTTGGCAATGATTGTTGCAGGTGGGGAAGAATCCAGTGTGACACTGTCACTGGAAATGTGGAAAGCCTTTATCTCAGAGAAATACCAGTGGAGCTAACTGCACTTTCCAAGTTGGTGGGTCTCAATTTGTCTAATAATCATCTCACTGGCTATATTCCTGACAGCATTGGAAACATGACGAGTTTATTTTCTCTTGATTTATCTAGAAACGAACTGATTTGGATGATCCCTCCAAGCATGACAGCTTTGACCTTTTTGAGTCATTTGAATTTGTCACACAACAACTTGTTGGGACGAATACCAACAGGAAGGCAACTGCAGACCCTGATTGATCCATCAATATATGAAGGGAACATAGATCTATGTGGACCTCCATTGCGTAACAATTGCCCAAATTGGGACAACCCAACAACAACAGGCAAGAAGAAATACAAAGCAGCTGAAGAGTCTTACGCAAACATAATTTGTGGTTTTGCAACAGGGTTTTGTGGCGTTATTGGAGTTCTGTTGTTCAAGAAACAGTGGAGACGGAATCTTTTCATGTTTGCTGAAGAAACCATGGACACAATATACGTTGCAGTTGTGGTAAGAGTTAGAAAGATGAAGATATTGAGGAAGAGAAACCACATAGAGCCTATGGAATGCACATAATGATTAATTGTTTTTTTGCTTAATAATACTGTGCTTTTTATACTACTATTTGGATTTATATTTGTAATATGGATGTTTTGAAAAGGTATCTTTCTTGAAATTTTCGTTCAATATGATATTTATACAAGAGCAAGTATATAGGTAGATTAGATTACTATTTAATTAAAAAAAATCCATGATTGGTAAATTTTCAAAGCAAAGTGGATCAACCCGGTAAATATAAAGTTCAAAGCAGAGCTAGTGAGAGAGCTCATTTGTTTTTTCGATCATCTGTGTGTGATACATAAATTCTTCTCTAATTCTCTGAAATCTTGTGATTATATTGTTTAGTTTTGTTCGTCTATAGTTCTTGAGGAGTTCCATTTTAGATTTAAAACGAATTTTGTTAAAAGGAATATGGGGTTATCTTCATTAACGACTATATGGGTTAAATACTTAACTGCAATAAATATATAGCAACATGCTTTCATTGATTTGAATGTCAACGTGGTGTTAGAAGAAGTATCCAAGTACCTCAACAGTGAAAGGTTAGCAAAATGAGCTTCAAAAACTACGGCTAATAGGTTCTTACAGAAATCTAGAGAATGGAGTTTGGCAATTCAGACTGTTGTTGGTATGGGTCCATCAACCAATTAGAACTTAGATTCAAATGTGTTAAAGCTACTAGATTTCCAAAGGATTTTGAAATTGAACCATTTAATTGATTAAAAGAAAGGTCAAGTTCGGATATATATTGAAGGAATGTAGGAATGGGACTGGCTAAGCCTTTATGAGATAGATTTAGTACTTCTAAATATCTAAATCTTCCAAGTGGTTATGGAATTGTACCACTTGAACAAATACGCAAATTCAACCATTCCAAAGCATATTGGGACACTGATTCATTTTTCGGAGAATAAGTATTTTTTATTTCAAAATGATTGTTTGATGCATTCAGTTAGTTGTTTCAAGTAACACTCTAAAGATTCCAACAACCCCAATCTTCTTAGACTCGTTACCAAAAAAGGTAAAGCTCTAGAAGTATAGGAAAAATAGGAACGATGAACTCAACATGTTTCCCGAGAGGTTAAGGACTTAGCTTATGTTTGTGAAAATAGATGGAAATACACCTTCCATTGAATTTCAACTAACATCCATGTGTTGGACGTTAGAAAGTGTTCAGAAATTAAGATGAGGGGAAGATAGGTGCGTCGTCTCGAGCCCACAATGTGACAAATGTAGCTATGATAAAGAAGGGATCATGTTTAGCAAGTTTGCAAAGTTCCATGCCAAAATAAGATTTAAGTATGAAAGATCGAGGAATGTTACATGTTTTGGAGAAAGCCATGGAATGAACCTTGTAAAGAATTGCCACCAAGATCAAGGTGTTTGATGTTGGCAAGTATTCAACAAGAATTAAGAAAAGGACCAAAATCAGC